GGGGGGGGATGGGGCACTCTGTGGGGCGTATCTTTGAATGCGCTCCAGGGTTGTGGGGTTGCATACTCGCTAGGGCTGCAGGGGCGATGGCGCCTTCCGGTCAAAGGAAGAAGGCAAACCCGTAACACTGGAGCGCACGACCCCGTTCAAAGATACACTCGGCACGTCGGGTTGGCAGCGGACCCGAGCCCAGGACGCAGCACGCAGCGTACAGCAGTCCGGACGCCAGGTGCCTATTTTCAAATCCGTTTACTTTGAGTCCGCCCTGTTAAGTGCGGCGCGGGCGGGGCTGCGGACTCGAGTCGCGTGTCCGCACAGTTTCGCGTGCAGTCCCTTCCTATTCCCAGACGAGAGAGACAAACCATCAGGCCAGACTAAGAGCCTTATTCTCTATTTTATAAGCGCCTCGCCAGCCTCTACCTTGAAGTCACAACGGGACTTGCAGATCAATAATCAATAGCTGCGTGGACTCTCGGACTACACTGCAGGCTGGGTGATCCACGCCGTCTTTTGTTTCTTACTTGTACTGTACCGGATTCTTGCGAGTGGACGGGTTGCATACTCGCACGGGGCCAAAAGGCACCATGGCGACCAACGGTAGGCGAGCCCGCTTACACACCTGAATATAGGCCAGTATAAACAGGTAGGGTAAGGGTCCCAGAAGTCGGCAGCAGCAGCTGCGGAGTTGCGGGCGGCTGTAGGTAGGCTGCACCCAGAAAAACGTACCTTTGATTTCATTTGCACGTGGGCTACGGAGATGTATTACACCAATTCTTACCAATATAACGTTGTCTTGAGCATAGGCGCAACCCATTTCCATCATCGCTCTATGTGCTAGTCTATTGTCATGTCGATTCGCGCAGGACAGCGCCCCTAACGACCAGGGTCGGCTACTCGAAAAGGTCTACCGAGATGACTGAGATCCGCGTGTGCCCGGAGCAGGCACGGCCCGACCAGGGGCTCTCCTACGGTGACCTCGTGCTGGAGTCGTTCCGACAGTGGCAACACCGAGACAAGCCGGCGCAGGTAGGTGGGTGGACAGTCTCCAGAGCGCCTGTGGACGCGGCGGTAGGCAAACCCCACGGCCAGCGTTTGAGCGGGGTGCCTACCCTGTGCTCGAAAGGCGCTCGGGTGGTGGAGGTAAAGCTTTGACGACCCAGTATGTTTATGTTTTGCGATGCAGATCGATGCTCACTTCGGCACGTCCATGTCGTTCCGAGAGCTGCTGCTGCAGACAATGTACGCCACCGAGGGCTTCAAGGCCATGGGGCTGGAGCCCAAGGACGTAGTGGCGCTTGTCTCCCGGAACTACCACGAAGTGGTCCCGGCCGTGCTGGGGGCCGTGTGCGCCGGGCTGAGTGTCGCCTGCGTCGTGCCTTCCAGCACCAAAGGTATCCCAAGGTACCTGCAGGTACCTGAAGTACTGTCCGTGTTCGACACTCTGAGCTCTCACCCCGTGCCTTTGCCCCTACTCGCCAGCCGAGATGCAGCACGCGCTGAACCTGACGCAGCCTAAGGTCGTCATCACGGAGCGCGATCGCATTCAGACCGTGATGGAC